TGTGTGTTTCGTAACAAAATTATCTATTTAATTTTTACTTTCATGCTGGCCGATTCTAAATTCAATGAAAATTGAGATCGTCAGTTCAAAAGTCGACCAAAGGAGCGGTCCTTTTCTAGTTGATCAGAAAAGTTGCAAAAAAAGTCAACGGCAATTCATGGGCTTCAAGGGCTTCAAACACGGATTATAGCGCTCGGCGTCCACCCCCCGTTTCACCGATTTCATCCTTATCTATAAGCTTGATCCCCTTGCGGTGCAACAGCTCCGAAAGCGGAATCCATTTGGTCTTCCGGAATCCTTGCCTAAGTTGAAAAGGCTGTTAGTTAAAGTCGATATAAAATATTGACAACCACGCTCTGAGGTGGGCCATTTGATGCAGCTCACTTCAAATACTTTATTAGCTCATCTTAAGTTCTAGGCGGTCCCAACCGCCTTTCGATCTTAAGTTTCAGTACATCTTGAGTTCTGCTACTGTAGTATAAGGTCGTACTATATGCACCCCACCATGACATTCTTGGGACTTGAGTTCGAACCACTTGAGTTCACACTGCGCTCGAACTTAAGATACATCAAAGATACCATATATAAACAACGGAATACATAACACTTGAGTCGCCACGGAACTGAAGTTTCGCACAACTCCAGTTACGCCATGTTACTTAAGTTTTGCATATGGACTTGAGTTCCGGCGCGACTGAAGTTCCGCATAACTCCAGAATGAAATGGTGAATTCAGCATTCTTCTTGAGTTCCAGCACCACTTGCGGCAAGTCTATCAGCAAACTCGCACCGAAATAAAAATAGGAGTCAGCTTGAGTGAACAGCGGAATAAAATGAAAATGAAACTCACTGGAGAATGAAAATGAACGCAAGTGCACGCCAAGTACGTTGTGAACTGCCGCCGGAAAGAATTAGCGCGAAGTCAGCCAGAATGAAAAAAAACTCACGCGAAGATGAAAATGAACACGAGTACACGCCGAGAACAGTCTTGCAAACACTGGATCTAAACAGTGAGATGAAATGAAAATGAGAACGAAAATTAAAAACATCGACGGCACGCAAAACGGAGGTAGCATTCACAGAAAATGAGGCGGATGAGGAGCACCGGTGGCCTCCCGAGTCAAATCGAGCAACAAGCGACAGTGCACATTGTCTCCCATGGAAAAAAAATCCACGTACGATGCCACCCCTCACTAGGCCAAGTACCAAGGCATAAGAAACACTCTGGCACTGACGCAAAGTTGAAGTCAGCCTTAGACAGCAGTCCTAGGCAATGGGTATGTTGGAGATCCAAGCTTGACCATATGGTTCACATGTGGTCACCATGGTATTTGTTATTGGTCCATGTGCTTTGCTATCTGTTGCCTAGCTCCACATGATTTTATTCAGGTTTCTATTTACATGTGATACTCCTCTTATCTATTGGATATTCACCTACATATAAAAGCTCGAGTACTTGTTGTAGTTACCCCACTGGTTTGTAACCCACTGCACTACCTTGCAATTATTATCTTGCTGGGAAGTCCTTGCCGGAGCCAAATTCTACCGGGTAGGGATCGAGGGGAGGGTCGAACGGTGAGTGGTGTCAATGAAGGAGGAAGTCAGGAGGAAGTGGAAGTGATCGGTGCTTTGATGGACAAATATTGGACAATGGGTTGATGCAGGCGTCTCGTTGTGTTGTGTCACGTTTGTCGTCTCTCTTCCTCCCACCACCATCTCGGTGCCACCTATGCCACCTGTGCTCCTCAGCCATGGCTCCCTCGTCTCCCACTCGCTTCTGAATGGGGCTCGCTCGACGCAAAGCATCCCCGGTTATCTGATCTTGGGCTTTCTCACCGATGGCACACCGAGGCTTGCAAGCTTGATTTGGAAATGACAAAGACAAAGTAAAAGCAGAAACAAATCAAGAGGTTTTAAAGGAGGAGAATCAGCATTTGGCAGGCGTGACGATGTGCATCGGGGCAATGTTCGACTTTCGACTTAGTACCAACTGGATGGAAAAGAAAATGAGGGCAGTTTACCCCATAGTTAATAATCTTCTCTCTCATCGCGGAATAGTTGGACCAGCCATGGATCCAACCATGCATCTCGCGTATCCAGTCTCTCGGGGTGGCTTCCCGGAAGAGACATCCCAACCAAAAAAAAGACGAAGTCGGTGTTCGCCAGTGTTCGCGAGTACAAGAAGGAGGGTATGGAGCCGCTCGTGCATGTGGATGGCTATTGGATAAGAGCAGATCTAGAATCAACACTGTTACACGGTGCACCTGGCAAGAAAGGATTTGAAGGAAGGCCATGCATGCAATGCGCACGAGTCGAAATTACGCCGACCCCGGTGTTAAGCTAAGGATGCATTCGTCCGGAGCGCCGTGACGAATATCGCTGGATCACTGCATTCAGACCCCCCCGTAGGCACAGATGTGCCCACCTTCACCGATCTCCGCCTATGGGTTGCCCACTCAAGCCGATGTTGGTCTACGTTAATAGGCATTGGCCGACGTTGGTCTAGCATCCCTACCAAGGCAAAGTCTGCCCACCTTGGCAGATCTTCGCCGATGTGGTGTGCCTATCTTGGCCAACCTTGGCCAACCTGGGTTTAGGTTGGTGTCGGTTGGAGTGGCTGGATAGGTACAAACCATGTCAGATTTTGAATTTGGCTAACTAGGCTTAGCTAGGCTCATCGGCCTACGTCAGTCTATGTGTGCCTATTCTGGTCGCAATACCTAGACCAACCATGGCAGGGAAGGGCAGACAGATGGGCAGGGGTCGGCACACTGGTCTGCCTATGCATCTGCCTATTGGGATCTGGCAGACCTGTGCCTACAGGGGGGTCTGAATGCAGTGGATGGGGCGGAGCGAGCGTATCCAGCGATTCCCGACCAACGCACATCCCACTGCAGGTGCGCGAATCAGTTCAATCGACGACTCAGACGAGCCTGAGAGAGACCTAGCGTGCGGTTCAGAAACCAAAGTCAAAGTCAAAGTGCCATCGGAGAACGGAGATTGGGGAACTTGAAGGGACTCGGCAATCAAGCTGTTATCGAGTCAGAAAACGAACGAATGAAACTAAAAATAAGAATGAGAAATCCCAAATGACAAAAAGGAATCAAGGAAAAACATTCCACCAAAATGCCACATCACCCGACCCCGAATCGAACGGGGGATCTCCCGATTGTGCATCGCAACCAGCTACGAGCAACAGGCGCACACCTTGTGCATCGGGCGCGTGCCTGTTGTGGTTCAACTTCAGCTAATATGTGTATATTTCGACACTGGCGTTTTTGATTATCAGTTCGGAGCCGGTGCGTAGGTCATTTGGTCGAACTCGGCCTGATGAAAACCGTAGGTTGTGCTAGAACAAGCATGGTAGTGGGAACAAGCAGGGCAGGCAAAGAGACAGAGATTCGGAATCGTGGATAGAGTCACTGCAGGCGCGCGAATCAGTTCAGTAGTGTGATTCAGAAGAAAGTGCCGGCGGAGAATGTAAACGGAGCGATCGAGCTACTGTCGGGTCAGAAAACGAATGAACCTATTTAAAAGTAAGAAATCCCCGAAGACCAGAAAAAATCAAGGAAAAATCAAAGAAAAAAAGCCAGACCTATGATCTCTTAAGCACCCTACCCCGAATCAAACGGGGGATCTCCTGAATACGCAGTTGGAATGCAAACCTCTAACGGGCATCAGGCGCACACCTTGTGCATCGGGTGCGTGTCTGGTGTGTTTCAGCTTCAGCTAATATGTGTAGGTAGGACTTTGATATTTTGACGCTGTCGTTTTTGAGCATCAGTCGGCCCGCGGAAATAATGTAAGTAAGACACACTGTCGAACTCGGCCTGATGCAAACCCCCGTTGGTGCTCGAGTATTGTAGTGGGAAACAAGCACGGGCCCGGGAGACAAAGAGGGAAAAAAGACTTGCCAGTGAACGCACAGAACTGAGAACACCACGAAAGATTAGAGAGATAACTGTCAGGGACGCATTCGTAAACGACTTGGAGAATCCATTGAAGGGCTCTTCGGCGCCTGCTGAGCTCGGGAAATGTGGGAAACCGAAGTGCACCGGTCAGATTGAGATCTGAGCCTGAGGACCACATTTACAGTTGAAATCAGTCGCAGAGCAGATATGTCCGGGCGTTGTGAATCGTGATAAATAACGCAAGGGTTAGAATAATTTATATTGATGTTTGGGAGATGAGTACGGGATACGAGATGCGAGATGGGTTTAGAAGGGAGGGCGACACCGGACAAGGCAAGATTGAGATTGAGAATCGTGGATAGATTCAGGATCGTTCGTAGAATGCGGGTGCAGCAAATAATCGACGACGAGCCCGAGAGACCCAGTAATTAGTAATTTGGAACCAACGTGCCTTCGGAGAAGGGATAAAAGAAGGGACACAAATGGATCGAGCTGTCCTCGAGCCAAAAACGAACGAAACTAAAAAGTAAGAATAAGAAATCCCGAAACAAAAGGGAAAAAAATTGAAGTTGTTATGAGGCCATCACCCGACCCCGAATCGAACGAGGGACCTCCTGATTACACGTAGTCCTTAAGATGCAACGAGCAACAGGTGCACACCTTGTGCCATCAGGTGCATGTCTGTTGTAGTTTAACTTCAGCTAGCATACGTACGTAGGACCTGGTTAATATTTCGACAGCGTCGTTTTGGGGCATCATCATTTCGGAAATAATGTAAGGTACGGGAAAGGCGCTGTGTCCAATTCGGCCTGATGAGAACCCCCATTGGAGCTTGAGCAAGCATGGTAGCGGGAAACAAGCAGAGGAAACAAAGAGGGAGAGCGCACAGAGATTCGGAATCGTGTAGAGTCACTGCAGGTGCGCGAATCAGTTCAGTAGTGTGATTCAGAAGAAAGTACCGGCGGAGAATGTAAACGGAGCGATCGAGCTGTTGTCGAGTCAGAAAACAAATGAACCTATTAAAAAGTAAGAAATCCCCAAAGACCAGAAAAAATCAAGAAAAAAACCACGCATACTGCTTCTATCGTAAGCACCCGACCTCGAATCGAACAGGGACTTCCTGATTACAAGGTTACATACAGAGAACAAGCAACAGGCGCACACCTTGTGCCATCGGGTGCATACCTGCTGAGGTTTAGCTTCAGCTAGGTAGGTAGGACTTGATGTCGGTTTTTGAGCATCGGCTCGGTCTGATGAAAACCAAGTTGGTAGCGGGAAACAACTCGGACACACAGAACTGAGAAAATTAGAGAGATAGTCGGGCCCGCCTTCGTAAACGACTGGGAGAATCCATTGAAGGGTAAGCGCTCACTGGACTCGAGAGAATTAGACCGAAGTGCACCGGTCACATTGAGAGCTGGCAAAACGGAACCGAGATAGGCCGCCGTAGGGCTTCGACCCGTCCGTCCCGTCAGACGGCCGGGTCGAAAGACGGCCGTCTTTTGCAACGGACGGGGCTCACCCGTCCGTCAGGGCCCAAGCCAAGAGGTCCTGACGGACGGGTGCCGTCCGTCATACCCGTTACGGCCGTCGACGGGTGATTGTAATTTTAATGTTAATCTTTAATGCCTTTGGCCTCTCTAGTAAGGCCAAAAAATGTCTGTGGAAGCTAAACATGTATGGTGAGCCAGGAAATGTTTCTTGGACGCCTCCGTGCCACTCACAAGTGTGCTTTGACAAATATTCAAGATAACGTTCAGCCTTTACATAAGCTTGCGCGGCAGAACTCGCATCCATTGGAAAAACTCTCACGAGGGACGCGACTGCACGCGTCTGAGCATTGGCATCCTATCTCATAAAATGGAGCCCAGACTTACTGGTGGTGCATGGAATTTCTCGCGCGAGCAGATGCCATTAATATTTATGGAAGTTGTGGCGGCGGCCCGGGCATACAACCAACGTCTCCAAATGGCTCAGGAATGCTAGTGAAGGTACAGTGATCCTCCAGTTCACTTTTAGAACCGCGCCGCAGGTCTCCAGGGCACAGTAGCGTGCATGAATAGTGGATTTCAGTGTTAATCCGGTGGGACCCGTCAACCCGTCGACGGACGGGTACGGGTGCACCCGTTGACGGGCCCACCCGTCCGTCACCCGTCCGTCAGAGAAGAGGATCTCATCTCATGTCGGACGGGTACCGACCCGTCGTGACGGGACCCGTACCCGTCGGCGACGGGGACGGGTCGAAGCCCTAAGTATCATAGGCGCAGAGATGACCGGAGCGGCAGCATATACCTCGGCCGGATTGCTATCCGTGTGTAACAGAAAAAGGCCGATGACGAAGCTTGTGTTTGGTCATCGGCTATTGACTCAGCTGTGTTCTCCGTTCAGCCGCCATGTATATAACAACAACTCTCTCCCACCGGGCCAACACAAGCCTCTGCAGCGATGACCGTCTCCTCGAGTCCTATGGCTAGTACCCGCAGCAGTCCGGTTCATCCCGCCTCGCTCGTCGACCCATCCACGCATTCACCCGAGCTGATGCAGCTCCTCGACATCACCTTCTCCCCGCCCGTAATTGACTACGTCGTCACCTGCGTCGCCGACACCGTCGACTACGCCTTCGGCCAACCCTCTGCCCCCCCATCCCAACTCTCCTCCTTCACGCGCTTCGTATCCAGCACGCTTTCCTACGCAGACGTCGCGCCCGCCACCCTACTCGTCGCGCTCGTCTACATCGCCCGCGCGCGCCCGCACCTCTCTATCGCCCTTGCGCAGTGGGCCCGCGAGCGCGTCTTCCTCGGTGCCCTCATCGCCGCGTCAAAATACACCCAAGACTCGACGCTGAAGAACGCGCATTGGTCCCTCGTGAGCGGCGTCTTTGGCACGGGGGATATTGGAAGGATCGAGCGCGAGTTTCTGGAGGTGCTGGACTGGGAGTTGGGAGTGAGGGAGGGAGATGTGTTGGTGCTCCATGAGGGGCTTGTCGCTGCTGCTTCGGGTTCCGTTTCAGGTTCCACTGTCAATGTCAAGGCGGCGGAATCCCGCATCCTCAAGGACGACACGCATGTAACGGTCCCCGAGCTCGAGCCCTCCTCTTCACCACAATCAACCGCGGGCAGCCTCTCCCCGCGCACGCCCCCTTCTCTCTCCCATTCGCCTTTTCATTCGCCTTCCCATTCGCCTTCGCTCTCCCTCTCCCGTTCGCCGTTGCCTACATTCGCACCCGCACAACAACCTTCCAAAAAGTCAAGCGCTCGGCACGGCCGAAGGCGGCTGTACGACCTCCTGCGGCGCGGGATGCATCCCCACGGACATGGGCATTACCTCCACCCCGCGATCTCGGTGGCGTAGCGCGGTACCGAGGTCGCACCAACCCCCACTCTCGCGCGGATCGAGCGATTCGCGCCCATACTCGCTGTCGCTCGATCTGCGCCCGCTCCGCATTGCGAATACGGCTTGTTTCGCGCGGGTGCCCTGCGCCCTCGGGCTTTTCGCTCTGCGCTGCACGGCTCCCTTCGAGTTCGATTTTCCGACACCGGGGAGTGCTCGCGTGCGCACCAAAAAACGGGCTCTGTTCCCGCAGTGCTCGCGGTAATGTCAACAATCAAAATTCGTAGATGTAGATGTAGATGCTTCGCATCGATACATACATACCTTCCCTCCACTCGACACCGTACCTCCCCTCAATATCGATATCTATAGCATATAATATACCTCGCCTGTACTATTACATATACGAGCCCCCAAAGAACATCGAATAAAGTATGTACTATTATACTACGACATGATTTGATTCAAGACGTGCACCAACTTGAAGTGTACATACAGTATCCCTCGTACCTTGAGTTCTCAATAAGTATCCAAGCACCCGGGGCACGAGGTGTGCACCTGCTTCACTTGTGTGGGTTTCACTGATCGAGTAAGCAGGTGGTCCCCGTTCGATTCGGGGTCGGGTGCGTATATTATCACTTTTTTCCTTCAAGCCGGGTCGGGATGTATATTTTTCTGGTATACTTACCTCGAGTCCCCACTAGGTAGGCAAGCACCCGGGGCACGAGGTGTGCACCTGCTACACTTATGGCGTCCATATGCGATAATGCAGTAAGCAGGAAGTCCCCGTTCGATTCGGGGTCGGGTGATGGCGTTCAGTTTCAAGTGTCTTTTTTGTTTGGTCCATCATCTTCATTCTTCTGCAAAGAAAGGGACACTGTGGTTTACTTGTTCAATTCACCAAGTTGGTTCCCGCAGGCGCTGGAAAGCGGAAACATTGGGTGAATGTGATATGATCTGGGTTCAACAAATCGAGGTGACGAAGTGAACACGGTTCAAGTTTAAGATCGAGCGTGAGGTACCTCGGGGCATCACTAAGCAGACAAGCACCCGGGGCACGAGGTGTGCACCTGCTACTCTTATGCAACCTCCCACAAGGAATAAGCAGGAGCTCCCCGTTCGATTCGGGGTCGGGTGATGTCCTCGCATACAACGTTTTTTTTCCCCACCTGACTCGAGGTCGGAAGTGAATATTTTTCTCCGTCTAATTTGACGGACATGAACATACTACATAATTATTTAGATGGAAGGTTTGTCAAATTGTCTGCGTCGGGTCGGAGCGGACCGGGTAACATATAATATTCCAAACCTGAATCGACAGCCTGAATCGAGTCGGGTTGAAATTAAGGGTTCGCAGATGATTTCTTTGCTTAAATTGGCATGGAATTAGTAGCCCAAACCGTTAGGAAATGGGACGCACCCGAGGCACGACCTGCAACTCCCTCTCCGTCAGGATGTAGGCAAGCTCCCCGTTCGATTCGGGGTCGGGTGATTGGTGTCAGTTTGCAGATCTTTTTCTTCCAGATTGTTTTTGTCTCTGGTTTCACCACCTCCTATACTGGCACTTTCAACACTGTTGCAAGGGCTGCTCGTCGATTTGTGCCTCAAGCAATCCAAGTGTATGTAATTTTTAATCTGGTTCGGGTTTGAGATTTCCATACATCCATTGGCAGTGTCAGAGGCGAGTGGTATACTTACCTCAATTTAACGGTGGGTAGACAAGCACCCGGGGCACGAAATGTGCACCTGCTACACTTGCAACCTCCACCAGCGTATAAGTAGGATGTCCCCGGTCGATTCGGGGTCGGGTGAGTGCAGCATTCCGGGGCAATTTTTTCCCGGATTGGGTCAGGGCCCGTATATTTTTTCTCTGTTTCGTGAACTTTATAACGCACTCCTTTGGATGCCCAGAGCTTGATCCTTGAACCGAGTGGAAGTTGGTTTAATTTCAGAGTCTGGAATTTTCTTTATATCCTCACTCATGCATTTAATGGACCAGACTGTGAACAGAGGCAAGCACCCGGGGCACAAATTGTGCGCCTGCTACTCTTAGTCCATTGATTTTGAACAGTAAGCAAGAGGTTCCCCGTTTGATTCGGGGTCGGGTGATTGATCGTTGTCGGGAATATTTTTTCCTCCCCCTCCGCCTTCTTCTGCAACTTGAAAGGCACATCTTTTCTGTTCCTATTTCTTTATTTCAAGTTCTCTTTTGGTTTTGTCGGCCAGGCGGAGATTCAACGAATGGATCTTGCAATTCAACTCAAGTACAACTAGTCAACGAGTTGGAACAATTTAAGTGTAATATACCTCGAGTCGCCACTAAGCAGGCAAGCACCCGGGGCACGAGGTGTGCACCTACTTCACTTAGGTCTAAGTTTGTCATGTAAGCAGAAGGTCCCTGTTTGATTCGGGGTCGGGCAATTCAGTGTCAAAGACACAATTTTCCTCCCGGGTTCCTCAGTGCAGATTTTCCTGTTTCGCAAACTTGGTCCAATTTGAGGAATGTGTATATTCATTGGATTGAGGTTTATCCGAGTCAAGCAGATGGGAAGTTCGCTTCTTTCTTGGCATAGTATTAGTACGTTCAGCACCAAGTTTCTGTTCAAAATCTTCAATTGCAGGTTCGATGTAATTCAACAGAATTTTATGGTCAGACTTAACATCCCCGTTGTCATAACCCTGAGAGGATTGGCACATTGTGAGCCATATGTTGAAGTTGAAGCCCTCAGGCTCAGCGCATCGTCGTGGTATGAAACAAGCAGCGGAACTCCTGTATCAATACGACAAACAATGTCTAAACCCGGAACCTCCGGCCCGTAAATACCTCCTTAACAATATGACCTCAATAGC